GAAGTGTACTGTTTAGTGAACCGAGCTCGAGGAATGGAAGTAAGAATAGTATATTTAGATAGTCTTTTAACTAAATATAGACTTTCTTGATATAATACAAATTTCTCTACAGTGAATACAATTTGAGGAAGGGTTGGGAATAAGTTATTTTGAGAAGCCGTGTGGTACAGTGAAAAGAATACTGCCGTGGGATCTAGGAGGTAGATTATGTTCCTGGTTTTGCCAGTGATTTGCTGAGTGACCTTAAGTAGCTTACTTAACCTCTCTGGGACTCAGCTTTCTTATCTTTAAAATAAGGGTTTGGACTGAGGTGTCGGCCTTTCAGCTTTGTCTGTTTGTGTTGTGATGAATAAGGTTGTTCAGTAAGCCCTTTCTCTGCAATAGATAATTCTTGAATTAACTGGGTTGGATCCAGGGTGCCTTGTAGACAGTGCAGAGGGCAAGTGCCTTGCTCTTTGGCTGTGTAACAACAGTGGCTGTTCTTCAGCTCCCGTTGCCCCTTTACACCCAGATATCCTTGGCCTCCAAGGTTCTGTTCAGCTACTCTTTGTGCCCCAGCAGTCAAACGCAGTCTGGTGGTGTCAGCAGTCACCTCCATGCAAATGACTCACATGGGTGTCTTTCCAGCCTCACCCCAGTCCCATGAGTGAAGTCTCTGCTCTCTGTTTTTATTTGAGTAGTCATCATAACTGCCATCAATGAGGACTTACTATCTGCTGGGCACTCTGCACGTGTTACCTCTTTTATACTCCCTGTAATTCAGCGATGTAGCTACTTTTACTATTCCCATCTAGGGGATAATTTGGGGATGAGGAAATTGAGGCCTAGAAAGATTAAATAACTTGACCAAGACCACACCCAGAGACAGTGGTTTGAAAGAGATTTGGACTCAGACTGGGCAGGCTCTGAAGCCATCCCATGCGACTCAGAGCTGTGCTTGTCACTACCACACTGTGCTGCACTGTCTAAAAGGGAAGCCAACTAGCTGGCTACATGTGATGACTGTGAACTTAAAATGTAGTTAATCCAAATCGAGA